CAAGTAACTTCGCACACGTTTGTTGAGAAATTTGAAGCTGCTTACTTTTCATTCCTCGCGGCATCTGAGAAGGCCCCAAATCATTGCGTGAAGGATGTATATGCGGTAATGGCACAAACCGAGGCACCAACCGTGGTTTGCTTTACGAATGGGTGATTAGGCATCCTGGACCCCCAGACGCAAGTTCGTTGTGTGAGTCAGCTAGGTTAGCTCATTTGTCCGCTATGATCGACTTGGGTTCCATGTGGCCTGTTGAGCAACGTCATAGTCATCCTTGCATACTTTGCAAGCTATGATAGAACAACAACAACAAATAATAACAATAATAATAATAACAAATTTGCACGATTTCTCGCCAACAATGAACGCGGCTTACGCAATTTTAACGGGTAACAGCAATCCTCCAGCAAAATTGTTTTAAAGAACGACACCTCCGCATATTTTAAATCCATAGTAGCCAAATATAGCGCATAGAATGTACAGGGAATTGGTTCAGCCGTGAAACTGTCTGAAAGTCCACTGTAAGTGAGGCATACTTTTATTCAACTCGCGATTTCTTATTACATCAGACAACGTATTCACAGTCGATGGTGTATATTGACCTTGGAGATTCGCGCACTAAAACAAAGCACGTTTGTAGATAAGTTGCGTAATGCATGTAGGTATGCATTATGCATAGGCATTATTCACAATAAATAGGTAACCATGAAAATGTCATAGCTTACAAGAAATCAATTTCATGTTGCGAATACTGAGCGGCCAATCCTTCTTTGTAGCTCACGCGGGTCTCTCCGACGGCGCTCAGTATTCGCACAACGCAATTAAATTTGCGACGTGTCCCTGATACACTGGAGGAGACAGGTAATTGAGTTCAGAGTATGAGCCCCATAAAGCCATCCCACGGTATCAGCGATGCTAGGACATTGTTCCACCAGACGATTTTAGCCGAAGGTTTAGTTGCATCCAGGACAGCGAAATTCGGTGAGCTTCAAAAATGTGAATATAGATTAGTTGGCGTTAGCTTTGAATAAGTACGCAACAAAATGGAACGTTTTTGACACGAAAAGTTTTATTCCATTCACAGAGGCCTCGCAGATGAGAGAACTGTGAGATCAATGGGCGTTCCTCTCCGAGAGGAACGCTGAAGCAGTCATGTGCTGTTGCTCTAACTGCACCACCAAAAAGAGGCGTAAGGTTGTAACGTGAGATGGGTTGTTCCTTTATTTGTATAAGTTGTCGTAAGCCTAACAGGGAAGCCAATTTCCACGAAGTCTAAAAGAAATTGGGTCTGAACCCACAGTGCCTCAATGAAAGGAACCAGGTTGATAACAATGAGGATTGCTAGAGAAGGCGGGATCATGAGTGGGTAAAAAACGTGATGTGCATTCCTGCGTTTTGAGCCGGTCAGTTCGGTTGGCTTTTGGTCGTAGATTTCCCCGTATACACTAGCAAACAGTGGATCAATATTATTTGCCACCCTTTGTTCATCAAGAGTGCTCACCGAGATGCAGAGCACTACGCGTTGAATTTTACCGATAGGCTGGTCCCCTTTGCCTTGGTTTTGGTTTCTTTACTTGGTCAACGTTTACATTAGATCCAGTAGTCCACTACACCGATCCAAATGCAGTAACTGGCTGTGCAAGGAAATATTCACTTGTCGAAATTTCCCACAGATGGTTCCGCATGAGTGATATATTCCACGGTAGGAAAATTATTCACAGCTAAAATTGTCACAGGTATTTATTGTGACGTTCAACAGTTGACACAAACACAGAGATTTCGTCCCACTGGTTCAGCAGTCAACAAACAATTTGACGGAGCGTAAATGCACTCGTTCAGCAAGAAGTCAGCAGGTCCCATCGGAAAATTGTGTATTCGTAACATTGAAACAAACGTCACGATACAATATGTGCGACAGTTACAAAGTGTGGTTTAAGTTCAGGAAGAATGGTAAATGTGACAACGGATTACAGACACTACACTTCAACAATATGATATTCTCTGAGTAGGGCACGACAGAAACAACGTACACAGGATGGTTTGCACTATCCATGAAAATTGAGCGCAAATCTGCGAGGGCAAACGGTACAATCCATATTTCAACTCCGGAGTTCTCATTTACTGTGAAACACCCACTGAACCAGATACCCCCTATACGAAGCAATGGGAGGGAAACTCAACTCTTTATTACGTCGCGGGTTACGATGGTGCTCGAATCGTGTCATTAATCTAAGGGCAATGAATAGTGAATGTCGCCTTCTTGCAAGCCAGTAACACAAAACAACAAGCGTGATGAATACTTTGAATGCAAATTCGAGCAGGAGAAAATTTGGTGCTTACTACCATCTTGACTTACACTGCTAGTTGATGAACGACATTGCCTTTCAACTTGTCACTACTTTGAGCATACCTTATTTATGTGGCCAACAATGCTCCAGTAAAAAAGGTCATCTGTGAATATGTTTCTGTGGGTCATATAATTGGTCGGTAATACGTCTTTATGCGGCCTCTGAACATGAACGCCAAGCTTGATAATTTTTCGTCAGAAGTTTACTATAATGGTAAAAGCTGCAGGCGGAGGCATTGGACAGTTTTGCCTTTGTTTTTGTCGAAGGAAACCACAGGTACTTGTAAGGAAGCATATTTCAATTTCTGCAGTTTGGGCAAACTGAGGTCAGCGAGAAGAGATTGATATGGAATGTCGAACTGAATCTGACAGGTATGAAAGCCTCGACATGCAAATACCAAGCTTCTAGGGAATTTTTTTGGTTCATTTTCAACGACTAGCATTCAGAACGCACATTACTTACAGCACGTGTAGCTTTCTCTAGAACCCGAAACAGGGATCTTCCCAGAACTACATAACATTTCTCTGCACACGTGCTTATATACTGAGTCATTGGTCTCTACTACTAATGTTCAGGTTTGTGTGAAATGAACCAAATTGATTACTTAAGGGCTTGCATAAATAAAGGAATTTGGTTGCTTCGCGGCTCTTTATCTTCTGAGATTTCGAGAAGCCGCTAATCGCTTATTTTAAAGATGGTCATATGGTGCTGTTAGGCGCAACGGACAAACAGAAAATGATCGTCATTTTGTGGCATGCATGACTGTACAATCGATGCAACCCCAGAAACAAAACACATTTTGAGGAATCAAAAAGCGTTAGTACGCTGGAAACCTTTTTATTGACAGGTAGCAAGATAAGTTCGGTAGCTAAGAAGGTATAGCTACCACCTTGCTACCACCTCGTGCTGTCCCATTATTAACGGTAAGGTGAATAAATTTTTGCTGGTGATGACGCATTGTCAAATAGGGAAGACGGTCGTTTGAAGTGCAGTAGTTTGTATCCGACGGGTTTGGAATGACAATAATGATTCAGACCATATTTCATTGCTGCGGGAGATGCTAGACTGGTTAAATTAACTGAGTTCGTGATAGATGGACTACCATTTTTCACACGATGTGACAATTGTCTTAACCAAAAGTCACAAGTGTGGGCGTGTTATTTTTAGTACTGGGCTTGGCGCACAACAACCACGTGCATCACCAGAGCTCAAAAGCTTGATTTTCCGGACGTTTATAAAAAACCAATCGATGGTATGTAGGTGTATGCTACACACCTTATTGACTACAACTGACACGTGTAAAAGTTGTCCGGTTACCTATGGATTCAGGCACATCATAAACTCTTTAAGCTGTTCTGGAAGATGCTGACTAAGCAGTACTAGACTACCTCTCTCGTGAAAAATACAACGGTGGTGCAGATAAGAGTGGCCCGTATCCTGCTTGGCTCTGACGTTATGCTGTGCTACTTCGTACGCTGAAGGTCAACCAAAAGCACGTAGTTGCAAATGGCATTTGTATCTTTTAGTCACAGGATCCCTCGGACAACCCTCGCAAAACTCCACTGTAGGACGCATCCAGACAATTCTGCATAACTGACTTCCTTTAGATTGCCTTAAAGACCCACAGATTCTGTTAGAACTCAGATGTACTGCGTCACACTGCGTGGTATGAGGAACGTCAGCGGTCGTGCAAAAAAGCATGCCTACCACTCCAACAGCCCATTCATACTATAGAGATGGTGTATGCGCTCACTGAACAGTTTGTAAAGGAACACTATAAGAGAGTTAGTAATGTGCGCGAGGTATGTTCTGTAGCGCAACGACCATGTCTAAAATTGCTTTTTCAAGTGGCTACCAATGTTAGGGGGTACCTGGGGCTGCCACTCCCAAAACTGCAGTATTATTGATTTGGGGGACAGAGGGACGGATAAAAATTCGTTACTTGGCTTGAAAATCTGGTGCTAAACCGGTGCACTTTCAGATTTTTGATACTAATGCTGGCCCGTGTGCAAGCCTCTTTATTCAATTGAAGTGGTCTCCATTTGTCTGCTTGTTCTTGGTACTAACAGTCCATACCGTCTCAATCAGTAAGACACCCTACACACCTCCCCTTATGTTTGTTCACAGTTCAGCTCATCAGATCGTATTAAGGACTGTATTAGGAAATACTCATGACCATAAACCCAAATTTTTGAGATGGTAATAAGGTGGCAGCTTTCGCTCGTTTCTTTAACCACGTGGGAATGGGTGAGCACAAGCGACAGCAACGATGCCAAAAACGACATTAGGCTGATGGAGCCAATGAAAATAGACAAGGTGCAAGTAAGTGCTTCCGGCAATTATTGAAATGGTTTGGACGTCATTTTGTGTGGTAAGGCCGCAGGGATGTTCGCCCCTCTGATGTGTCTGAACGTTCACAGAATTGCTGACAGTATTATTATCATTAAATAAAGGTCAAAAACGAATGCTAGAAGGTGTTTTCTTTTGGTGATAGCTCAGGTTGGGCCTTGATTATTATGGGCATTGTATTTGGATTAACCCCACTAAGCAGCCCGACCGAAATCTGTTTCAAGTGCTTTTTATCCCTGTGTAGTTTTTTCAGAAGAGCTGGTGACTCCTGTCAATCGCATTTGTGTTGTCTACGAACTCTTCAGATTCTCCTTCAATACGTCTAGTTTTTTGCATCAGTGACAGCTGATCGCACATAAAATGGAAAGCAAATTCTATAGATACAGATAACAGAGAGATATGGCAAATTTCAAAATAGTCAGTGCGGGAGAATCATTTTTCCAGTTAAATGACAAGTGTAATCAAGCATTTAAATAAGGTCGTTGGGGTGAACATGTCGACATTGTCGCAGCACTGCTTGATGGCCCATGTGTGTGAGTTCACAAGTGAGGGCGTTGTTAAAGTAGTTCGACTCTGGAACTAGAAAGTCAGGATTAAAGGAAACCTGAAAAAAAGAAATAAAACACAAATCGGTAAAAACTTTAGTGTCTCATGTGTATGCGTAAACAACAATTCAAAAGTCAATCTAGAATATATCGTCGCATTACCTTACTCCGATAATTAGCGCGCGTTTGTAATAATTGTTCTTGTTGGGTGGACATTTTGCCGACTGAAATTCTACGCCGGGAGATGTACATCATGTTGTACTATTACTTCCAAGGATAGGACGCGCGAGGGAGGCCACTTTTGATCATCCCGCTAGGTGGATTTACATTATGCGCCTAAACTGGGTGTTATCTAGTGTTCTCTAAGCCTATGAACATCTCCAGTGCATTAATTTCTGGATGACATGATTTGAGTGGAGACCTTGTGGCAGAAATCCGAGTAATAAACAGCATTATGGTAGGCACATCCTATTCCACATGTTTACGAGTTTTCACCAGGAGGCATATTATCTGATGTCCACTCACTCCATGCGCCCCAGCCCGCGTTTACAAAATGGCTGATTCTGTAAATTTCTGATGTTTGAAATTTTTAAAATGCCTTTTACACTGTGCATTGCCCAAACATTTCATCGCCCCACCAAAATACAGTTTTTTGTTTCTTATTGCCTTGGTGTTATTGTACAAGCTAGCTACAGCATTGAGGAGCGTGAAAACGCATTGGTGATTCAGAAAAATGATATGGTTATCTTAGTGAAGTGCCTTTAAGCAAATCTTCAATACAGTTCCTTCACTACTCGGAAATTTTTGAAGGTATTTCATCAACAAACGGCTGGTATCCAAATCATTTATTTGGACTAATAGTGCCTGAACCACCAGGTGTCTCAGTTTTATTGGACTACCTTGAGCGGATTGTGTGGAGCCGACTTTGGTGTCGCGAGAAAGTCCTCGTCGGCGATGCAGACTCAAGGAAACAAGACCGGTTGTGAACATGCAGACACTTTTTGCGAGCCAGCTGTCGAGATAAGCTTCAAATTTAATGGTAATAGTGCATGTGCAACATGTGTTTACGGAACTAAATGGTACAAGAAGCTGCCAGGTGTGACATCTAGGCAAAAACAGAGATTTCAGTAACCACTGGAGTGAAGGCACTTGGCAAGAGAGGGAAGTTTATGTTAAGAGGATGCACTACTGTGAGGTTATTGCACAAGAAGTCTGAACATCCTTATGGAAAGCTAGATTTTCCGCGAATTACCAGGCAATTTTTGAAAGTTACGTCTAAGATTCTGGTGGCAAACGAACGATACTTCCATAATCTCGTATTCGAGTGTCGTTTGGCAGCGTTGCCATGATATATATATATATATATATATTTTCTGGCAAACTTCAGAGGCACCGAGGTCTATCTACATGAATTTTTCATTCATCTGAAACGAAACTACTTCTTACGTGCTCATCACCGAGCCAAACAAATACTTTTCGAATGACCAACCTGGGCAAAACTGTGGTTACGTTATTGTACTCTTACGCAGTACAACCACGTCATTAACTATATCTTATCGGACTGCGTAATCTTCACCGGGTTACAAGTGTATAAGCAATGTCATCAAGGGGACCTTATTACTGAGCCACTATTTGCATTCTGCATTTAAAGGATCACAATAGTGTAAAAAAATCAAATTTCTAAATGCACTTTAGTTCGACAAATGAAATGAAATGGAATAATTTTACGGATCTTAATCTGAACGTAATTAGACCACTCCTCTGACATGTTTGTTAGTTTAATACAACATACACTCGATAGACTCAGATCTGTCTGTGGTATTTACACTGTCAGTCTCGCCAACCAGCTCACCCCTTTGGGATAAGATTAGCCGGTATAACCGAATCAAGTGTTCCGAGACCTGCTCGCTTGACTGTTAGTCGGACATAAGCTAATGTACAGAGTCGTTTAATCTCCTTTTGACACTACCTATCATCGCTGACTGGTACCATGCTTTTATATACCTGTAGGCATATTCTGGAATCAGGTCTGTTTAGAAAAATCAAATGATGAGATACAACGTGTTGTGGAGACCTGAGCATGAGAAATTATCCTCACGCCAATGCGGCTTGTTCCACAAAATTCAGCGAGGTTACAAGGAGATCATTGATAGTCACCGATAGTTTAGGGACCAGAACAGTAAACATCCTCACGCACAGTTACGCGTCACCTGACCTTGAGGTCCTTGTTTCAAGCTCTGTGTATACAGGAGAATACTAAGTCATTTTATACTAAAAAAATATTATAGCGTCCCTGCCTAGTTGGCTTACTTTACGGTTTTAAATAGGTTTTGTCAACGAGCGAATGAGATCAAGTGTTGTATATCATCATTCAGCTTACCTGGAAAGTGTATCTGCCCGGTGCAATGTCAGTTACATCTACCCACTGGCAGTCGTAGTCGTGAAGATACATATCTTTACATCCAGGTGAGATGCCTAAAAATGCGTTGAATATGTTCCAGCTTTACTATCAAAAGTCTCAAAATAACTTGATGATTAGCATTTAAATCGAGTTTTAGTCGCGTTTTAGGTGTTCTCTATAACCTAGTAAGCCTACTCACAGTCTTTACCCTCACAATTACTATACTTTGTGGTTGTTGAGATGATTGGCTTCACGTTATCTTTGGTGAATAACATAGGGATACAAAGTTGGATATTTTTCGAGAGTACACCTGGAGTTTTTACAGGCTATGAGTAGACAAGATCCTAATGAGTTTGTCCCATGTCACATTTTTTGTGTACTCACAAATATGGTTAAGTAATAGAAAAAACTGAAGTTAGATCAGTCAGTTTGGCTGTGTTGATCTTATCTTGATGTTGCCCTTAGATAACAGAAGCGATTTAGACTGAACCAGGCGTTGTCTACTGAAAATTTATGGTCCGTGTCTGGCCAACGAGACCCAAAGCGTTCAAAGCGGTGGTTGCTGTTCAACAGCTTCACACAGTATTATGAGAAGTGTGCTGTGGAGCAACGTATGACTGATTAAATCGTCCACGAGCGTGTCGCAGGAGCAGGACAAGTAAGTCGCTTTTGACCACATTGAACAACGTACTAATGTCTGACACAACCTTCGCGTTTGGGCAAACAGTGTCATGATATCAACGTAGCTTCCATACAGAAGCAGACCTAAAGGACTCAGGAGTGGGTTGCATTATTTTCCGGACTTAAGTAGCTACGAGGTCGCAGTTAGCAAATGCACTTGATCAGCAAACAGCTTCCGTGCTCAAGATGCCACTACGGGGTAAGCTCCGAATTCGAGTTGCGCATACGACCTTTTGACATTCATTAAAAAAGAAGCGCTTCATGAGCTCTACCCACCAAGCCTGGCGGGACCTTTAAATCTATGCAGCTAGTGCTGAATATACATTTGACGGCAGGGTTGAAGATTTTATCCGGTCCTTAGGTTAAAATGTATGAATCAAATCCTTCTACTCTTACTGGCTGTACATTTCCGTTTTGACATGCTGGTTTTTCACAGTAGACTTTCTTTGCTTATCACTCAGACATTTGACGATCCACATATAGAGAGTGAATCTTCCTTTTATTGCAAATTATGTTGTATTGTTGCTTCGTTGTAATTTTCCTGGTTTCTGCAGGTATCACAGTGGCCTGTGGACTTAGTCCTTAGGCGGAAAAAACTGACTTTTCTGAGAGATCAGTCAAACAGTTTAGAGTAAATTTGTTTGTTTGGTCCACAAAAATGTCAGAAAGTAGCTGAGACTACAAGTAGGTCGATGGTAGTTTAAGTGCTGTTTATATTGATAGTATTTAGCCAATAAGAATAGATGTATAGAAGGTAATGGTGGCCCAAGGCAACATAGCGATTGCCTTACTTGATAAATATCTAAATACGAAGTTAATATCCGTCAAACTTTGTGCGCACATCTTTATTCTGAATGCAAGTCAAAGTAACAATCTCTTTTTAGTTTAGTCGCGCGTTGTAGGGACTCGTTAAAGAGGAGGAATTTCCATGTGAAAGCTTTTGAAAACAATCACCAGAAGCTACGGTTTCACGAAATAAGGCTGATATTACTTTACTTATCAAACAATTCAAACTGAAATCCGATTGTTTCGGTAATGTTCCCATATTCACCAAAGCATGAAAGTTTTAAAGCTGTGACTAAAGATATAGGGCGTGTCTTTGTAGGAGTTTCATTACAAAGTACTTTCATTTGAAAGCCTACGCAGAACGTGATCCTTAAATTTTGTTGCTACAGCGTCATTCGCTATCTTTTTCAGGTACCAATATTTTTTTCAGGACGACAGCATTTATCTCATCTATCTCGTGCAAACATCTGAAAACATAATATATAGGTAATCTTGTGCTGTTCTATCATTTTTACGATCAAAGTACAAAAGTCTTTTGGCTATGGAGAGTGAGAATAATGGACACGACTAGAACCACACCAATTTCACACTGACGCAAAGGCAAGGGTTTGTCGGGTTTTGGAGCGGCTGACTGGGGATACGTAAAATGCCAGTCGCTTACTTATGACAATCAAACTAACCATAACAATTTCATTGGAGTAAAATGGTCAATGTGCGAAATTTCGGCAATAAATGGCCCTTGATATATAATGTTTGTCGCTTGAATCTTGTACCATAAACTTATAAGAACAATTAAGTTGAAGTAAGTGTTGCTCATAATCTGAATGGTAGATGGGATGTAGCTTCCTTAATCTCAGTATGCGAGTGAAGCTATAAGTCTTATGTTTTCACTGTGGGACACACCTCCAAAGGTACTTCTGCTCCAAATAAAGCCAGCTCTTTTTGGGAATAGATTTTAGAACAAATAGTGGGCGGCAAGAAAATCTGCTGTGGTCCGTACGGAAATCGTCATCCTTTGGACGTTCTTCGCTTTGGGACTTGGGCTTTCTTCAGAGGTCTATTTACTATCCAAGGCATATCATGTGACACGAATCAGGATGGTTTATTATGAAGCCCCAAGAGGGCTAACGTGGGATGAGGTAAAAACGGTCGTAGCGGAATTCCTCAAAAGTGCACAACCGTAACATCCTTGTTTGTAACCATTAGAACGTGTCTCATGGAACCTTACGAGGAACCCAACCCATAACATGGTCGCTGGCTTGTTCGCTGATCTGAGCAATTTGTTGTCTAGCTCAGCGAACAAGCCAAAAACTATCTACGCTACCTGAGCTACCGATTCCTCTAGAGGGCTTTCTTCAGAGGTCTATTTACTATCCAAGGCATATCATGTGACACGAATCAGGATGGTTTATTATGAAGCCCCAAGAGGGCTAACGTGGGATGAGGTAAAAACGGTCGTAGCGGAATTCCTCAAAAGTGCACAACCGTAACATCCTTGTTTGTAACCATTAGAACGTGTCTCATGGAACCTTACGAGGAACCCAACCCATAACATGGTCGCTGGCTTGTTCGCTGATCTGAGCAATTTGTTGTCTAGCTCAGCGAACAAGCCAAAAACTATCTACGCTACCTGAGCTACCGACATTTTCCTCTAGAGAAAATTCATAACATTCCTGTTATTAGTGGAAAGTCATCTTTTGGCAAAGACAGGCTGCGTAAATTTATTATTAGTTTGACTCCAAACAGAAGATGACGCCAATTGCTCCTAATGAGGAATTTTCCTAACGCTTTGCTGCCAAGTTTTGCTTGGGACCACTTTCCAGGAGGATATTCAAAGTATCTTACGAAACTTTCTTCCGAGAAGGTAATGATTATTGACTCAGATTTGAGGTAACATTCGTGATGTCTCCAAGTTCCGAGTATGAATATAAATCCGAAATTTGATTAGAATGGGAAAAATAAAGCGTGAAAAAATCCTAAACGAGTGTTATTGCACAAACAACGCAACCTGTTTTTCTGTTCTAACACAGTAGACCGGTGTTAGTCCTTCTTGTGTATCACGTCGACAGTTTGTTGTTTATATTCACACAGAAAATTAACTAACCTTGCGTCCCCTTGCTGTCAACCACGTTGCTGCATCTAAAATGTGGTATAACGCCAGACCTGCATATATTATCTTCCAAACAGAAGCTGGCCTTCAAACCAACTGCAACCAGACGTTTTTCTGGGTCAACGACTTCATAGCGTGAAAAAATCTTCATACTGTGATAATGCCTGATAGCAAATGCAAAAAAGTTAGTTTGAACAACTCAGATAAACATGGTGGAATAACCTCACTGACTTAAGCTTATGAACCTCATAGTTATCTTGTGAGAATCTTGCCTACCCTTTCTAAGCAAACGTTTGGAACCTGGCCGGTCAAGGGACCTGGTAATTTGTTGCACTGCTGGGAAGATCTGAAATTATGAAAACTCACCTGCTAAACTTGTTGTCTGGTTCAACTAAAGAATCCGGACAGTTGCGGCTTGATTCTCCCGTATTACAAACCATAACGCACCTCAAGTAAGAATTGCTTTTCTTTTCGTAAGAAGTACATCTGAGCTCGTACATCGGACAGGAGTCCATGTTTGGTCCATGTTCGAAATTGGTCTCTATGATCCTTTTCGCCTATTTCTATTTATTCATTTCCGAATTTGTGAAGTGTTGGAATGAAATTCAGATGCTCTTTAAATCCAAAACGCTCCTTCTGAATCTGATTCCAATCAATGGTTTTATTTTGAACAAAGATTCTGGCCAGAATGGAAGCTTCTAGGTTTCCATGTGACTGTAATGTAGACTGGACTTATTGAGGCAATGCGTGTATAACGGCCTGCTAAGATACACTTATGTTTTTGTAAGAGATGCGGGAAATGTGCATGCGGCGTACACTGTGCGGTGCTAGGGGAACGAATGGTAAACAGTGTGTTAATTATTTTAGCGCTATCTATATCAGTACCCATTCAGTCCTTTTCCACAGTAAATTCTTCGGTGTCCAGTTTGGGTGGGCAGTCCACAAACCACTCTTGAGTGTATCGAAGCACAACTGAAATCTTAAGTAGTCTGTAGTGCAAGAATGTCGACAGATGAAAGTATTTCATAAAAATGGGTGTGAAAAATATGACAAGTAACGCATCGGTAGTCGGAAAATGCTCCAAAGTAAAAAAATCTAGCTTTGAACCAGCTGGAATTTTTAAAGCTGTTTACAAATGGCAAAACAACCCTCCTGAAAAAGAAAATCTGATGGAGTTCCGTGGGCGACTCCGATTTGTTCTTTTATTATTTGGCAGACGGAAACTCAATTGAATTGTGCAAACAACTGGAGCATCTTAAGTCAGACCGCTTTCAAAAAATCATCGCAGTTAGCAAGCTACGAAAGAAGACGCAGTAGGATTTTATCCATGAACAGAACAAGTAGTCATTTGTTTATCAAGTAGTTGTTCTTTGCTGCTGACAAGTTGGGAAAAGAGAAGTACGTTTTCTCAATCCTAGCCAGGGACATTTTTTTCTGTTCAAGACCGAATTGCCACATAAACCGGCAGATGTCGTGGTTTTGCCACTGAACTAATGTAGCAATATGCCGTTTGCGAATTTACACAACGGTAATAGAAGAACACCATTGACTTTGAACTCACATGTGACATGCATGCCACTCCCAGTTGTCGGGTTTCTCAAGTGGCCTGAACACGTCCGTACCAATATTTTCAATGATAGAAGAAAACCTCAATAATGTCCTTGTCATCCAAGCATAGCTCGCTTTGGGTAAAACGGAAAAAAGAGGGGAGACTCTGAGTCTAAACGAACAAACTTGGAAGTTTAATCGCTGTTAGAAAATATTTTCGCAGTATTATTCAGTATTCTCCTACGTTCATTGTGACGTTCTGTATGGGACAACGAATTCTTTGATGCAAGCCATGTTTCGAGTTGATAAAGCATGGCGTTTGAAATCAGGAGTTCCAATAAATCGAACCGAGTGTATATCAGTTTTCGGGGCCTCATGTTGTTCGTGTCGTACAGCCAGCTTTTTTGATGAGAAATTTTCATCATAAATCTTAGCGACTGCTTCGGCGATAAGACTTTGTAAAATAGCTCTAGTGAACGAATTGAAACTTGGAATAATTCGTGTTTTTGAACGATTATACTAGTTCACTAAGCATGGTCTTATTACCAGTACCAATAGAAATTCCCCATTCTTACTACAGAAGGATGGACTTTCACATGTGGTTTGGCTGTTTAGTCTTCTCACTACTAATAGTGTATGAGTAAGCGTTCCGGAGTCAAACCACTTTCTAAATTTCACTTGAGAGCTGATTACTAAAGTCATCAGTCGTTGAAAAATTACGTACGTGATCCGCATGGTCAGGGCTGCGTTGCGCTAATGCGTGTACGTCACATCATCGGTCAGCCACCGTTGCCTGTAAGGACTCGTAGTGGAGACTAATGGGATGTTTGGTATCAATGTTGCTCATTGCAAATGGGACGAATTCACGATACTTCTTACAATTTAAGTACAAAGTGACAATTCATGCAAGATTTCATGCTTACTCGCAAGTAATCAAACGACATCATACTGTAAACTACCGTGGAATTTCCTTAGAACTGATCAATTCAGGAAATACGCACACAAAATCTAGCAAGGAAAATAGTGTGATGCTACCTGGTTGGTCACATTAACCCTTCTGGAGATTGAATCCAATGTGCTTACGATATTGAAGGATTTTTCTATGTTAAAGTTACTCCAAAAATTGACTCTGCACGACAAAACACTGGAAGCTTGTTCCTGCAGATAGCATAGACTTGGTTATGGATCCGCCTTTCGAAGCGCCCGTATTTGCATTCAAAACGGTTGCTTCCAATCGGGCATACACAGGTTGAAAGCACCTCAACACTATGTTCATCACTACAGATCCCAGTTAATCTAGATGATCTCGATTACACTAAAGTGCCTTAAATGGTAAGAATTACTGTCTTAACGAATTTGTACAATTAACTCCAAGCATCTTTCATTTTACTAGCTAGACTGACGGCTGCATTGGCAGTTGCCATTTGGGTGCTGAAACGCGGTCAACAACCACTTCCCTTTCCGCTGACATTCTAGTTTCTTCATTGTCTATCTAGAATTTTCACATTTTTGTGGCAGCTACATTTTCGTGAGAGGCGACCGAAACTACTTACTACTTAAAAATTACTATGGACAACTCATTCACTACGAGGATTTACCAAACGTTTTTCAAAATATTACGAAAAAAATTATTACTGGGTGTTCATTATGCTTTGATTCTCTTGTTAAGAGGCGACACTGAATCGTGCATGAAGCAATAAGTGTTCTGTTTGTGCAAAGAAAAAATGCTGAGTGACGTATATTATGTACCCATCTGGTGTGTCAGCAGCTGTTCTCGAGTAAAATTGAGCCCGCCATTACATGTTCAAGCAGGTCGTTTTGTTGATCTTTCCATAAAGAGACTGCAAACCATTCCTTCTTCCTACGCGAATGGGCGGTCTTAACTGTTTAATTGTTTCTTGTACTGCCGTTGTTACCCGGATGAGCAAAGCAGCTGTGTATAGCTGAATAGTGCCGTTATAAAAGCACTTTCATCCCGTTGCTCTGCGTTTTTGGAAGTGGAATACGCAAAATTCAGCACCTTTCAATTATAGTGCTTGAAGAAGATGGCTATAACCGTTTTGTTAGTAGGCGATCAGAGAGGTAAAAGTCACTGGTGACATGTACATCTACTTACATTATTATCCAGATCTAAAGGGATCATCTCCCCCTACAAAGATATCAACTCCTTCACTAATCGAATCAACAGCTCATTTCCGGAGGGGGCAACCTTTCTGAGTACATTTGTCCTTATCATCGGAGGGACGATCGTAATGGTGCACGTCAAATAATTTACAGTCACAGAGTTTTATCCATCCCTGTCAAAACGTTTATATGCCTTTTTAAAACTAAGCTGTGCCCACAAAATGCAGTTACCGCTCATATTTCACTTTAAAAACTAGTAGGGTAGGATTTTCAGTACGTTTCCCGTTAACAGGTTGTCTCTATACAAAAACATCAGTTAACAGTGGGTTTCGTAAGAACTTCAGTCTATGAGATCAGCACTCACAAAACTATCGGTTTTTGTTAACAAGTATTCAAAATTTGCAGTTATGTTTTGTGACTTCGGGAAATTTGAGACTTTGACAAAAGTAATGTGTGTGGATAGATTTGCACTGAGATGCTACCTCATGCTTCCTTGTCAACAATGATTCATCAGTAATGTAGTTGACCAGATGATAAAAAACAACTATCAATCCAGGTTAAAATTCTTTTGGCATGGGGAGAGCATCCTAGTTTTTTTTCGAAAAAACAGTGGAGGAAACAGGTGTAAAATTCTGCGTCTAATGAATCTCATCGAGTAAAAGCACCCGTAAAATTTCATTATTGTAAGACAGACAAATTCAATAAACTTACTAGGGTTTCTGTCAATGATTCGGTAGACTGTGTCCGGCAAGCAGTTTTCTTCAAGCGCACACTCCAGTAACCACAAACTCATCTTTTGCAAGTAGGCTGAACTTTCTAGACTGTATCGGTCAGGAACCAAGTCTGGGAGGTCTAAAAATATTGATGAGACGATGGTCAAAAAGGCATTGAAAAAATTGCAAAAAAACGGTGAGGTATTGCCTAAGTGTGTAAGGAGTATTAATGGAAGAAGCGTTTTCAGCAGAGGTTCTCTCCTGTAGATGAAACCAACCTATATCGAAAAGCCAAGAGGAAGTGTGTGGCGGTTTCAGCAAAGTTGGGACTCATTAAGAGTTTGCGAGTTATTCACAGTTTTAGCAGACGCTCTTTGGAGTTGTAATTTTTCTGCGAGTTTATGGGAGATGCGTTGCGGATGATTCCTAATCAGTATGGATTGACCAGGCCCACACTTCGAATTCCACAGGGACATTTCCCAAATCTCCTCAAGTTACAAAAAACTAGCTTCCATTGAAAACAAATGAAACAACCATTAAATAATAAGCACAAAGAGTTTGTACTAACTTAGTGTCTGTGATGATACCGACCACCTCAAGTTTATGGTGCGCGCTTTCTGTCTCCGTATTTTTATTCCCGGTCACAAAACAGCCTTGAGATATTCATGAAAGTGTACAACTGATAGGTCGCTAGCCCAAACTAAGTGATGCCTATTTTCTTGGTCATCTACTGATGACCATTTGTACAATATTGCTCGCTGAGCGTCCGAATTTTGATATAACGGGCAGAAAGTTTAATTACATTTATATAATAAAAAATGATGAATGAATGATAATAAATAATAATTCATACAATATACGATTAAATCACAAGTTGAAAGTTCAAATGCCATTTCAATGGTGTTGGTATGTAGTGCTCTTATATATCCTCTACCGTCATACACCTCACTATTTGGTCTTACTTTTAAAAGCACAACTTAATACAACAAATATTTCAACATATAAGTGACAAAATATAAAAACATCCAGAGAACACGCGGGACTCTTAACTTGACGGATAGAATAGTCGGTCGGTACCGATTATATGTTACATATAAATTGTTTGCTCTTATGCTTCCAAACAATATCTTACTATTCAAAGCAATAAGCAACGATCTTGCGCAGCTTTTTTACATGGTAAGATTTTTGGGACTATCACATTTGGAAACTCATCAAACCAACCCACTTTTGGTGCATTCCACTGCAGCAGCTAGAGGGGAATTGCATGGAACACCGTTTGGATCTGCATAGGTGACACACTGCGAAAGTTGGGTCTCATTGCCGTAACACCTTCCGATGATTGCCACCGATGTGTTAGCACCTAGGCCGGTGTGGTGCCGTGGCATCTATAGGCAGAGATCGTTGGTTCGAATTAGGTGAGTCATAATTTATTTTGCTATAATGTGAAATATCAAAGAGCACTAAAACTCAAGCGCGTCCTCAATAATCTAGCTATACCGCTAGGTAGCAATTCAATCAGAATATGAAAAAAGTTAGTCTAACAGTTAACTGACTTTGGCTGGATTCCTTGACCGTCATAGAAACCATCAAATTTGTGAAACTGCTTGGTCTAAATGCGTTAATTGAAAACTTTCAGTTTTTTAGTGCTAAAAGTAAACTAAAACCTAGATGTGAAAATTTATCCGAAATGGCGATACAGTCACCTTTAGTTTGGAGAAAAGTTGCTTGCCGAATGAGAAACCCATTGTGAATCATCCTTTATAGGCATCAGTAGTGTACGATTAAAGTATGCAATTTATTCAGAAGGATTGATAAGGTTCTGTTTAAAAAAACTTCCGCTTAGTACGCAAATGTAATTTGAAAAAAGTCGCGATTTTATCAGATGTACCGCATTTATTGAGGCGCTAGTGTGCTGGAATATCAATAATCCATTATGGTCTTTGGGTACGCTTGGGGAGATGGCACTAAATGATATTACGGATTTACCGCTTCCGCTACCATTAATTATCACCAAAAATATTTCCATAAAAGCTGCTGAGCAACCCAGCGTAACACAGGCATCATTAGTATCCTTTGAGGAGTGTACTTCTATTATCCGTACACCATTCCATCCAAACTATCCCAATTTTTCTTTGTTTTATAACCGAATATCATTATCTCTCATTCATAAAACGGGCGTTGTCCCTTGAATGGCGCTGTGTGTTTAAGTGAAAGACAGTCAACTCAGTGATCAGCCAATCATGGCCAAATATAAGTCCAAAGACTGGTCGGAATTTTCCTTGGTTGAGACTTTCTTACTTCCTCAAGATGTGCTATTTTCACGACTCTCAGAAAAAATGACACAGATGTAAGTGATTCTTGAATTTTCGGCATAGGTTGACTTTACTGACAGGAAAACGTCCCTGTCAAAAAGTATCAGACCACTCAGATCCTATTAGGAATCTTGTGTTACTGCTCCGACTAAGGTCGACCTTGTTAAAATTTCACAACGCATAACGCTGTATACACTGTACCACTAATTTACTGCACCTAGTTAGTTTGGCGCCTATTTGGCAAAGTACAACAGCGATATTAGAGAACGTATGGGGAGTCCATGATACTGTTACGAAAGTGATGAGATTTGGTGCACTGGATGCCTCAGAAAACACTTGGTGTACAAAGCAAGATGGTTGCTATCTCAACAAGTTGCATGACGTCGCCAGAGGTGTTGTAGAAAACTCTTAAAAAGAGAAAAATCAGAACTTAACTAGTACTCTGCTAACTTGACCAAACCTGCTGGAAATTTATCGTACCACATGCCGTTGACTGTTTTGTGGCATAACACGTACAGTGGCATGTGTAAACGCAGCACAGATCCACAACTATTCCGTCCTCATATATTTAAAGGACTATTTTGTTCGTAAAACCGCGTCGATTATGGAGCACGCGTCTCCAGTCAATTCGTTCTTGCTTTAGCTAGCTTTTTTTGTCCCGGTGGAGCTCGGTGAACGATGGAATAGTGTTCCATTATTACAACACACTACCACTAAAATGGCACACGACACAGAGTTACGGTAACTTCAGTCTCCCTTGGATTGTCCTAATCGTGATACTTGGTGCGTTGATTCCTTCATTCTTTACCTAGCATCTAGGGCAGTGGTTCCCAAAGCTTCTAGCTTATAACCCATTTTGCATCCTATGCGCAGTGCGTTGTCCGACTGCAAAAACGGCTTTTGATTAACTGATGCAAGCACACAAAAAATATTTCAGCAACCCAGCAACGTCAAAACGCACTTGATAATAGTTTGGATGAGTTTTCAGAAATCGGATTGTGCACATCCTACGGATAATAACTCCGGACTCCAGTTGAATGACCACACCCCACCTCATGGTTACAATCTTCTAACAACTAACTGAATGCTTATTCAGGAAAATATATCCAAAGCTTAAGTCATACTCGCTGATCTTCCAAGCAGCGGCAAGATCTTGGTTCCGTACATAGAAATATACGCTAATTTCAGAGGTGCACTGAATATGTTGACCGCAAGAGATATCATTCTGCATTTGTCAATGTGTTGAAACATAACTCGGGAACGTCAGCTAATAGTTGATCAGGTGTGCTGGCTGACACGTTCGTCGCGCCCGACAATCGGCTCGAGGATTTTCGTCCTCAGTCGACTGGTATAACGGTTGGGTGAATTGGGTTCCCGCTGAAATGCCCACTGACGATGTTCCTTTGAGTGAGAATTAACCGATTGCAAGCTAACTGCCAACAGATCAGTGACCACCTGATTAACCACCAGCATCCTGCATTAAAACTCTCAAACAGCGCATTTCGAAGTTTTTTAGCCAATATTCTCCATTCATTGACCGCTGTTCGCTACACCATGTGTAACCTACAGTCTCTTAAACCAAACAGTAGTTCAGTGTGGATTTACCGGCTTAGTACAGCGGTGATGCTCATCAAGTTGCAACGGATGTTTCTGCGTTTCTTCATAATAACACAGGACCAATTATTGGGACCCTGCGCTTCATAGTGCAGGTTATCAGGTCAGTTCAGTTTGGTTCACATGCAGGTCTTCGCAAGCCGCATGCTAAATTGCGTACAGGCTGTGGGGTCTGCCGATATCTTTCAGTGTGACAGACATGTCCGGACTTAGGCTCTAGTAAAACGGACCCATGCAACAGATAATCATGTATAATTTGCCTGAACTTATCACCTAAATAGGTTTTTGAGTCATGAACGCCGGAATAAAATGTGTGCCTAACATAAAAATGATCTAACCTCAAACGGTGTTTTGAGTCTTTCTAAAAAAAAGAACACAGGAAACATCAAGCAGTTTACATCTTTATTATCAAAATTTTAAGCCATGTATATTTAACTAATAAAAAGGATTAAACTGGCTGGACTTACCGGAATAACGCGCCCCCCTCTTCCCAAACCTATTTGGTGGCAAAATACTATAGCTTCGGCACCGCGGAAATGGTCTGAACAAACTGATCCCATAGTTCCGTCTTCCAATGTGACAATTACGGGATAGAAACTGGCAATCTTCAATTCTGCTTGTGCTGAAATGTCTGATGGTAATCGCGGTTTCTTGAGAGTAATGCCCATCTAAATTTGAATGAAACCGTTGAACCGGCAAGGAGATAAAGATAAATATGCTGCTTGTTCGACAGTCACCCATGGTTGGGATGTTAAGCTTCGAAACACCACAAAGTTCTATACAAATGCAGGTCATTTTACATTATTATCCCCTAGGCAGACCAAAAGGAAAACATGTGTTACGCTAATTGAAGATGATGTTTCCTGCGTCTATTCGTAAAATTTACCTACCTGAAAACCCATCCCCAAATGTATCAGGGGCCTATGCGGTTGAATAAACACTCTACCCCACATTTCACATTGCTCATTGATTTCCTATTTTAGAACGTTCACCCATGAACATAATGATGCGACAGCGTTTAAAATTATTCCAACATACACCCGGTTGTTACTAAGCGCAGTGTTTTTGCAAAACTAAGACCAAGAATCCGATCCCCACACAGATGTATCGCACATTGTAATGTTAACATCAAGAACCCCGGGATATGTGTCAGAAATATAACGCATAGAGAAATTTCAGAATTATAGATTCCCAGTGCTTAGCTTAGGAACTAGCAGTGTTGGTTGTTGGACACAGATGTATCGCACATTGTAATGTTAACATCAAGAACCCCGGGATATGTGTCAGAAATATAACGCATAGAGAAATTTCAGAATTATAGATTCCCAGTGCTTAGCTTAGGAACTAGCAGTGTTTGGTTGTTGGTCTGTTCGCCGAGCTTGGCAGTTGGATGGCACATGTTTCATCACCAATTGACGTGTCATCGGGAGTGCAAGGTTGAGCGAACAGACCAGCAACCAAGTAGCGCACCCGAGCTACCTACATTCCACAGCATTGCTAATAGCTAGCACTGTTCAGGTACCCGGATGATTTTGATCTATTTGCCAGTCAGTTTTGACTGCATACATTTTTTCCCGCAGTAAAAATAATCAAATTGTTAGGCTTTTGCCTACATTATAAGAGATATGGAATTGTGGACATCATTTGCCACCCGGAAGGTATGGTGATTTTGAAAGGTGCAGGGCAAAAAGAGCGGCTTTATTAACTAGTATGTAATTACTTAAAATTATTTTAGCTTTATGCCCTATCAATGTTCATAGTGATTCGCTTTATCCTGATTTTACGCATATGGGGACGGTAGTCTAGTAATGGTCCTCTTAGAAGACCTGTGGTCCCTTATAACGAGAAAGGGAACCGACCGTTTGGTTCGGACGATCAAAGATGCCGAGGCATGAGTGAGGCATCAGCAATTCTCCCAACTAGTCATGATCCTAGCAAAATACACTCATTTGCATACGAATTTCGTTTCCATGGATGACTCACCTGGAACCCAGCGGAATCTCTGATTTATGTTTTTTTCAAGCAACTGAATATAAGGCACCAGTTAGCCAACATAGACGAGAAATGCAGCTTGATTCTAGGTGAGGCCCTCATCAGAACCGATTTTTTTTTCAGGAAAATGAGTGTATTTTATTAATTTTGTGCAACTTGGGTTCAAATAAAACAGTTTGTCGGGAACTCGTGGTTCGCGCCTACTTGGTGAGTCTAAAGAGGGTTGAAACCGATCGTGAGCTGTCCAAGAATTTTCAGCCACCTTATGAACAGCGTATTAGTCAGGATCATATTAAAAATTGCCACTTGTTTTGAACGAAGCAGTTCCTCCATGGTACGTATGCCACATGGCCGGATGGTGCTTAGCCGGATGCTAAAATGTGGTTACTAGAGCGACAGACGACTGATTCTGCCAAACCTGTTGGTTGGTCCCAAATGAAGTAATACGCCCATTTGGTTTCAGAAAGCGATGAAATTATGAAACTCGAATAAAGGTTTGATATTTTTTTGATGTCCATCTATGTTGGAAAGTCCGAGGGCACTGCCAAGTTGATTAACCTACACTGAAAACCAGCGGGTTTATCCATCCCAAAAGTAGAGTAATTTTTGGACATATTTTTATTCGATTTGTCACAGTTTGCTGAAGAAGCAGCGTGGTTGACTAATTTAATCTGACTAACGGTAGTTACCGCAAACTTATTTCTAACTATCCTATCGCTGGATTTTCTACACGGCTGCTATGCTGAAGCCATGGGATTTCGTAAATCGTGGGGAGTTCTGTTTGCTATTGTGCTGACAGTTTCTTGTAAGGAATGTCTCAGCACTTTAATTTTCATTGCAGGGGAACGGGTGGTAATGACCTACAGCTAGGGTGCGGAAAGCCACCTGTTGCAATGTCACTGAATGAAAGGCAGAGTAACACCTTGATCCGCTTGTGCATTTTACTGATATAAGAGAACTGCCTACACTGACCGGAATGAAGATTTAACCGTTCAATAATCCAACAGATATCATCCATCATATATGATGATATATGATCATATATATGTATCGTATATGGTGAGAACACATCACTTGTTGCGTGTGCACTACTGTACGAATAAAACTATTATTCATCGCTCACTTCAGTGGGTTTAATTGCCCTGGTTCCTATACTCCGAATAGGTGAAATACACATTTTGTGATCAGTATATTTATACAGAGAAATTAAGGAAAATAGGTGGTTTAGACTAATAACGTCGCACTAAAAAACCGACATGTGCGAAAGGTTTTAAAATTTCATTCGAGAACTTTACACTCCGTTGCGTTTAATTTGTGGGAAAGTGCAACGCAGCTGCTGAACGGGCGTTTTGGTGGAACGTTGGTAAGACCACGTAAATTGTCGTAGGACGATGAAGCGAATAAATGCTTTGGCCGATCTCCGGCAGAAAGAATAGTCTGCTGCCATGGAGCAATGCGAACTTCCAATGTGTGGATCAAGGTATAAAGCCAGCTAACATTTTTTTTAAAAATAAGCGTACCAATTTCGGAACCAAGTGATCATCCGGTGGAAAACAAACAGTTTACTATTAGTTTTTCCCGCAAGATGGTTAAGTTTTGGAGCCATTTTTTTCAACATGAACTGTAGTGGTTCATTTGTTTAGTTATTTACGCAATGGAAAAAACAACGCAAGGTAATTCAGATATTGGCAAAACCGGACTGCAGCAACTTCGGTTTTTAAAATTCGTGAGTATAAAATAGTGTTTAGTCAGCAATGTAGACTCAAGTAAGTGTGCTCGTTGTATACGTCAGTAAGTATCATTGACAATTTCTTCACGTCATTGGTGGAGGCCTTTTAAGACTTACTGAAGTCTGGCAATCCTAAAAAGCATGAAATTTCCTGTCCCGGTATGTCTTGTCAATACACTGTGCACTTAAATAATAGTTATACCATATTCGATTATTTAAATGAGGACCCTCGCACTGTAAAACGTTCAACTTCATAGCACAAAAACAGCCTACAGACTTATAGGTTGATTAGATGGTTGTTATTGATGACGAGTTTACAGCTGTGTATTTTTATTTCCGGAGTTTCGAAGTACATGTCTTGTGACCCGAAATTCGGACCAGTATTTACTCAAGAGATTCCACATTGTTTCACTACACTATCTGAAGTATCTGTTTCAATTGTAATGAAGCTTTACATATGTGCTGTTATTTATTGCTCTTTTTTCTTCTTCCTGAATGTTGCAAGGCAGTAACTGACAGTCGTAATACCGAACAGAATTTCAGAAAGATGCTTCCAAACTAGTTTCCCGCAAGACAGACAAACGGAGCGTGTAAATGAGAAAAGGAGTATAGTTGATCAGAATGCAGCAGGGGAGGATGTGCTTAATATCTATCAAATTTGTGGTTAGTTAAACAGGTTGTTCTGTTTGTCAATCTTCTGATTCGAGCTATCTTGTGTCTACAATCTTGGCGACCACTAATACATCTTTATATATTCCCCTAAGCCTACGTCAATGATCACGGAACTTTGATGCGTGTAAACAAACAGTGATGATCCAAACATGATTACCACTGGACTTGTGTTTTGCGCCATACGAACTTTTGCCGGACCGTTTTGCTATACGAACTGCGACCCTCTGTCATTCGGTTGCTGCTGACTGTACAAGGTAAGCCTTGGTAAGAGTGTTACGAAGCTCTCTATTCCACTAGAATATTAGTGAATTGTCAAAACTCATCTAGATTTGTGCTGCGTAGAAAAACGTCATCAAAAACGTCGCCTGTCTCAGATGTTATATCAAGTAACCCTGTCTAAGGAAGACGTATTTAGACGCCATTTAGAAAAAGCTAAGCCGGACACTTACAATCCCAAAACCTATAAGCCTTTGTGCATCCGCCGAAAACCTCCTGAAGGCAATATTTATCTTCAGTAATTCAAGCCTATTATAGTGTTATTATTGGTATAGTTTCGTCCTTTTGTGAGGTAAATGCCATGAAATTTTCTTCAAACAACGTTGAACTATAATAGTGAGCGTGTTGGTTGTGCATTTAGGAAGTTTACCAATGCAAAGCAATCCTGTGACTGCTGTCGGTTGACCCTTCCGTACGCTCTCGCACGAGTCGCAGGTAACTTTCGACCTTGTGGTTCCTCCTCCAAGAGTACCTTGGATGTGATAAAAATATTAGCTGTTGCAGTGCTTATAGCTTCGACTTTTCTATTTTATTTTCTACTACTAAGCAAAAGCAGGTGCGACAGGATGGTGCCTTCTTTATGGTGCTAGTTTTTTTTTCAGTTCCACATGTGTGCCATACATTTAGTATTGCCCCATGTGATATTCTCGGATTTGTGAGGATTGAGTCTTGAAGAAGACTTAAAGACTGCTGGTGAATTATTCTACCCAAACTTCATTTGAACAGGTTTCCGAAAAGTAAGGCGACTGCCGGGAGACAGTTATATTAACTTCCAGTATGCTGACCTGGGGAAAAATACACATAGACTCCTGTGGAGGAAAATTCATGTAGCAGGTAACGACAGCTCCCTAGTTTAGAGGTGACGTAATTTTTATCTAGTACAATGGGTGTAAAATATTGGTGACTAACTGTGACATTAGTGTGAGGAAACTCAAACTTCAATTCCGCACTGTCAGAATGTAACAAACACTAGAAAATCCTTAAACGGTGCTTTCCCTG